GTTCTAGGAATTTCCCTCGGACTCTTCCTCGGAACTCCACATTCACTCTTTGGTTCCTGCCTGCAACATCGAGTCCTTTCATTTCCTCCCTCCCTCCCTCCCTCCCCCTCCTCCTCCTCCTTCTTCTCTCTCTCTCTCTCTCTCTCAATCTCTCTTGATTTTTCGAGACCAGGGTTCTCTGTAGCTTTGCAGTCTGTCCTAGAACTAGCTCTTGTAAATCAGGTTGGCTTCGAACTCACAGAGATCCGCCTACCTCTGCCTCCGGAGTGCTGGGAATAAAGGCGTGCGCCGCCACCGCCCACCTTGAGTCCCTTTATTTTCTACTAAGGTTTACTTGTTTATTTACCGACGGGATTCCTGATCCCCCTGCCTCCGCAATCCCAACTGCTGGTATTAGGAGATCCTTAAATTCCCCAGGAATTTCGCGCAAAAGTATCCTTAATTCTTTCTGCATTCCCCCAAATCCCAGAATCTCGTTCAATCCTTCCAGGTCCCATTCAAGACGCTTTCCCAGGATTAGCAGTCTTAGTCCTCTGATTGGCTAGTCCGCCCTCATCCATTGGTTTCTCTACCAAGCCTCCGCCCAGCGAAGCCCGAGACTCTCTGTGGCCCCAGAGAGGCCCACTGGCGTCCCTAGGGCAAGACCCGGCCGGACACACTGTGCCCCCGCAGGCGTTTGCTTCCCTCGAGGCTGACCGAGGTCTCGAGGGGAGCTGCAAAGTGAACTACAGTTGGAGGGTTCCAGGCGCCGCGGTCACCTACCGCCCTGGGCGCCGCCATCTTGCCCGATGACGTAAGTAAGAAGGGCGGGATTTTCCTGCGCAATACGTGGTTCAGACGCAAACGACTACTTTTGTGGCCACACCCCCTTTTTTCCTTCTTTTTAGCCTTTTAAAATGCACATACTCTTTAATCCCCCCCCCCCCTTTTAGAACGGTGTTTTGACACCCTCTGAAGAGGGAGCTTCTTTTCCTGACTGCGGTAGCAATTCTCTTGATTGGTTGCCCGCCCCTTTTGTACCTTTGCCCTCCTTGGCTGTTGCACCTGGTTCCCTCTCTCTCCACTTCTCCCCCTGTTCCCACATGGCCATGTCTGTGCTTCTGGCTATGCTCTCCCATATATCTACAACAAACTTTCTCCTTTACCATACCTAGGAGCCTCCATGTCATTTTTTAAAATTTAATTATTATTTTAATTTATATCATTTTGTGTGTGTATACACACCCACATGTCATGGTGCACCTCTAGAGATGAACAGAACATGGGTCACGGAAGTGAATTTAGGACCCCTAGCCAACACGACAAGCACCTTTACCCATAGAGATATCTTGCTGGCCCTATTATGATTAGATTTTTAGAATTTTATTTGATATGTTTGCCTGCATAGATGTCTGCACCACATGTGTGCAATACCTTGAAGACCAGAGGTGGACGTTGAATCCCTGGAGTTGGAGTCGCCAGCCACCATGTGTGTGCTGGGGATGGAACCCAGGTCTTCTGGAAGAGCAGTCAATGCTCTTGTGGTTTTGTTTGTTTGTTTGGTTTGTTTAGTTTCTAACAGGGCCAGGCAATGGAAAGGTGAGCTGGGTAGCCAGGGTAGCCATGTTAGAATTCAGTATAAAAGACTGACTTTAGTTTGGAGTTCACATCTAGACTTTTTTTTTTTTTCTAAGACAGAGACAGATTTTCTCTGTATAGCACTTGACTGTCCTGGAACTCACTCTGTAGACCAGGTTGGCCTCAAACTCACAGAGATCCATCTGCCTCTGTTTCCAGAGTACTGAGATTAAAGGCATGAACCACCACTGCCCGGTTAAGAGGATTATTTCTTACACAGGGTCTCTCTCAGGTACATTAAGCTGGCCTTGAACTTTATTTTTTTTTCAATTAAAAACTTATTATGAATGTGTGTGTGGGCATGTGCTTATGAGTGTAGGCACATGGTCAGAAGTTTATGGGGCACCGGGAAAAGCCTAGGGCCTTCTCAATGAATGCTAGGTAAACTCTCTCAACTGAGCCACTTGCCCAGCCCCCAAATGCGAAGTCTTGGTGGATACAATCATTCATTCATTCATTCACCAGCATTTACTGAGCTCTCACAGTGAGTTCTGAGAGCCCCTTTCTCAGGGAGTTGCCATTCTAGGCAGAAAAAGGATGGATAAAAAAATGAATAAAAGACTAAAGATACTGTTTGATAAGAAGCAGAAAAATGCCAGGCAATATATTAGGGAGTGGCTGGGGCATAGAATCGCCAGCAAAGGCCTTTGCAAAAAAGGTGCATTTAACTGGAATGAGTGACATGAAAGAAAAAAGTACCTAAAGGTTTGGAGTGAAAATGTTCAGGCACAGGTAAGAGCCAGGGCAAATGCGCTGAAGTAGGCACCAGCTTGCAGAGAGGTAGGAGACAGGACCAGGGAGGTGGGCAGTGGGACTGACTGCGTAGGTCTAGTAGGGTTTTAGTCTTTTTAGAGGGAGAGAGGAGTTTCAAAATCTGCCTTACATGTTGCGAAGACCTGGAGAATGTCTCTTAGAGGGCACAGGTGGACATGAGATCAACATAGAGGCTACTGCTATAGTCCAGGCCCATGAGGAATAGGAACTGGGAAGGGGGTAGTAATGAAAGTTGCTAGAGAAACCAAAAGGTGTTATTTATGGAAGTGGAGAGTCAGGGAGCAGTGGTTTTGGCGAGGTGGGGAATTGGTAGATTGAATGCCCCCAACCACAAATGTCCTTGTTCTGTAGTCCTCAAAGGTGGAGGTGTCAGTGACTCAAAGCCATTTACAGAGGGCTTGCCATTCCAGAGGGCTGAGTCTGTCACAGTGGGGAAGTATGGATGGGAGCATGTGGCAGGCATGGCATCAGAAGCAGGAAGCTGAGAGCTGAAGTACAAAGCAGAGAAAGCAACAGGAAAGGGTCGGGCTTTAAACTCTCAAAGCCCACCTCAGGTGAGGCACTTCCTTGAGCAAGGTGGTTCCTCACAAAGCTCTCCAAGCCACCATGGACCACTCAACTGTCCTGAGTGAGCCGATGGGGGACAATTTCCTTCAAACCACCACACTCTGACTATGTCACTTTATATGGTACAGACACCTCTGATAGTCCCACTCCCTCACTCACCTCTGATAGTCCCACCCCCTCCCCTCTGATAGTCCCACCCCCTCACCTCTGATAGTTCTACCCCTTTTCTTAGTAGTGTATTTATTGCTTTGTAGCCCAGGCTGGCCTGAAACATGTAATCCTCCTGCCTCAGCCTCCCAAGGGCTGGGATCTTAGAGTGTACCTTAAGGCCCAGTTTAAGGATTTTTTTGAGGGGTGGGACCATGAGGGTTTCAAGGCAGGGTCTCACTATGTAGTCCTGGATGTCCTGGAACTCTCTGTAGACCAGACCTTGAACTCAGATCTGCCTGGCTCTGCCTCCCAAGCCCTGGAATCAAAGGTGTTCGACAGCACAGCACAATCAGCCTAAGGACCTTGAAACGGGAATGTTATTTATTGTAGGTGACTGCTGGATGCGAATGTCTTATCAGGATGGCCATTGCAGAAAATGGGAGTCAGGATGCCGGATGCCAAAGACTGGAGTGATGCAAGGAGAGCGGGTAGTCTGGAAGCTCAGAGAGCAGAATGTGGCTTCTCTCCTGGAAACACCCGAGTGTGTATGTGTGTGTGTAAATGTGCCTGCTTGTGCTTGTATGTGTGTGTGTGCCTGCTCATGCTTATGTGTGTGTGTGTGTGCGCGCGCGCCTGTTTGTGCTTTTATGTGTGTGTACCAGACTATGCTTGCATGTATGTGCCTTCCTGTGCTTGTATGTGTGCCTGCTTGTACTTGAATGTGTGCACCTGCCTGTGCTTGTATGTGTGTGTATGCATATATGCTCATGTCGTTGGTGCTGGTGACGGGGCCAGGGGCTTATTGCATGCCAGACAAGCATGAACCATGGAGCTGCATTCTTAACTTGAACCTAGAGTCCTGCTCTGCCACTGAGCTACACCCCCAGTCTCTTGTGGGTTTTGGTTTCGAAGCACATGCTAGTGTAGCACATGTAGCACATGCTAGTGACTACGGATGACATTGAACTCACAACTCTCTTGTTTCCATTTCCCGAGTTTTGGGGTTACAGGCATATACCACCATACCCAGTTAGCTTGATGTGACACTGGACATGGAACCCAGGGCTTCCTGCATGCTAGGCTAGCCCTCTGACAACTGAGGCACATTCCCAGACCTCTTCCCCCCATCTTTGGGTTTTGAGACAGGATTTCATTCTGTTTCCTTGGAAATCAATATATAGATCCTGTTGGCCCCAAATTTGCAGTGACTGTCTTGCCCCTGCTTACCAACTATTGGGATTACAGGTGTGTGTCACCATACCCAACTAACCTTGTGAGGTTTTTTTTTTTTTTTCCCTTTTCTTTGAAAAAAATTTTTTGGTGCATGTGGTGGTTTGAAAGAAAATGGCCCCCAAAGGGAGTGGCACTATTAGGAGGTGTGTCACTGTGGGGGTGGACTTTGAGGTCTCTTTTGCTCAAGCATACTCATGGACTTGTATGGGTCAAGGCAGAGCATGACTGGAACTCTTCCCAGTCCTGACCACCTGGAAGTGACACACACAACACAGACATGTCCAAAGCTAGCAGTACTGGCTGCTGTATGGCAGCCTGCAGTCTCCACACAGAGACTCTTCAGGGAGCACTGGTGGCAAAGCCGTGGCAGGGGACAGACAAGGATCAATTTGGGGGATAGCCAAGGGCATTCAACTGAAGAGGCCGAGGAAGGGGGGCTGGAGAGGTGTGAGGACCTCGGAAGGAAGACAGCCCAGCTCCTTCAGATGTCAAGCATCAAGCACCCTGTGCCCGAGGGAGTCAACCTAAGAGGCAAGTATGTGAAGTTAGACCTCTGCCCGAGGCTATGAGATCATGGAGGCTGGACTCCAGAAAGAAAAAAAAAATGTGGCCATCTGATTCAGAGTGAAGAATGGACTTTGGGATGTCTCTTCCAGCCCCTCCTGGATCTTTCTTCTCCCCCATGCCCATCCCGCAGCTTCCCAGGCGACTGGGCCCCTTGGACCTTGCTACTTCCTGCTTTCAGTCCATAGTTCAGACCATGGAGCTGTGGGTACAGCTGAAGCAGGCCGGACTGGAGCTCCTTGGATTGGGTCCACCTCCCCAGGCGCTAATGATGCCCCCGCCAGAGGGGAACCCTGGCCAGACCCTTCTATCCTCAGGGGCAGAACTTGGGAGTGCCAGGGGGCCACTGCTGTGGATCTGGGAGGAGCTGGTGAGTGAAAGTTCACTAGAGAGAGAGAGAAAGAGAGAGAGAGAGAGAGAGAGATATGGTGGGGGAAAGAGTGATAGCAATAGACATGACCGAGGCTCAGCTAGGCCTGCCAGCTCATGCCTGTAATGCAGCACTGAGGCAGGAGAATTTCAAGCTTAAGGCTGCAGATTAACATTGCATGTGAGAATAAAACAAGGCAGAGACAGGTAGAGGTGGGGACAGAGCAAGAGAGGAAGTAATGGCGACAGTCCTGGAGAGAAGCGGAGGAAGGCGTCAGAGATTGAGCTCAGGGATAGACAGACAGGATCTCGGATGGAATGGGACCTGGGAATGACCAAGGGCAGGCCTGAGAAAACAGAACTGGAGATGTGGGGTCAGAGATGAAAAGAAGGGGCCACAGAGATGAAGAGGCAGAGGCCAGCAGAGAAACAGAGGTCAAGAGGTACAGGGAGAAGCAGATGGCATGAAGAACCCAGAATCAGAGAGGTCCCTGGCCAGGCAGGCTGGAACTTGGGCTGAAGCTCCTGGCAGATGTGCTTACTCTGGGTGGCATACCCATGATGCTCCTTTACTCCTGTAGGAGAACCTGCGCCGAGTGGATTTCCAGCTGTTGGGACAGCTGTGTCACCTGGGATTGGAGATGGGGGCCCTGCGGGAGGAGCTGATCACCATCCTGGAAGAGGAGGAGGAAGCAGCGGAGGAGGAAGAGGAGAGCCGTGTTGAAGAAGAGGATGAAGGGCCTCAGGGGAAGCAGGAGGAGGGACATCCAGGGGTCTCCTATCCAGCCCTGTGCCTCCCCGACTTTGAGATAACCATCTGAGGTGATAGAGTTTGACACATAAATGAGATGCAAATTTATGCAAAAGCAAGAAGAGATTCGGGTCCAATCAGACAGAATCAATGGTGTTCCTTCAGCAGGCTGTTCTCAGGAGATTCTGACAATGGAGCCTGGAGATGTGGGCTGGTTTGACTGTAGCTCTATGTGCAGAAATGTTCCCAGTGTGGCCTGAAGAGCCAGTGATTGGCAAAAGTGATGGAGATGTTAGCAGACAGGATGGAAGATCAGTTCAGCCTAGTGTGGTAGATGTCATGGCTATTAAGCGACTGAGACATCACAAGTTCAGAGGGAGATGTGGAATGAGACAAAGGTCAGCGACCTGTGAGGTAAAAGCCTCCCAATACTTAAAATATTGATTACATGTTGAAATGATGTTTTGAATACATGGAATAAAATATAAATTTTGTATGCTTTTATTGTGGTTATATATAACATAAAGCCATTTTCATGTGTGCTATGTGATCTATATGCACACTTGTGTGCAGGTCTGTGTGGCTGTCTTCCACTGTGGGTCTCTCACTGAACCTCACAACTGTGCCTGGGCTAGCCCACGAGTTCCCATGGTCTTCCTGGCTTCCCCATCCCCTTGTTGAGGTTACAGTCTGGGAGCTGGAACCCAGGCCTTTCTGTTTGCACAGCACGCTCTCTTACCCACGGAGCCACCCTGTAGGCTCCTCCTTTTGTTCTTTCTTTTCTTTTTTTGAGATAAGGGCTCTATGTAGTCCTGTAGACTAGGCTGACCTGGAACTCACAAAGATTCTCCTGCCTCTGCCTCCTGAGTGCTGGAGTTAAAGACGTGCACCACCGTGCTTTGTGTTCTTCCTTTCCTTTATTCTGTGTGTTTGTGTGTGAGTGTGGGTTTGTATGCCACAGCATTTGCGGAGGTCAGAGGACAGCCTCAGGCACCAGGCCTTGTCTTCTCCCCTGAGACAGGGTCTCTCATATTTATGGCCGCATGCCGTGTTACCTGGCCTGAGAGTTTCTGCCAATTCTCCTATCTCCACATCTCATCTCTCCATGGAGGCAGGGGATTACAGTTCCTAAGATGTCCAGCTTTACCTTGGTTCTGGGGATTCAAACCAGGTTTTTATGCCCGCAAGCATTTTACCCACCAAGTCATTTCCTCAGTACTCCCTTTTTTTTTTTAAATTATTGTTGCTATTACTATTAATTTGCTTTTTTTACAGGACAGAGTTTCTCTGCGACACAGTACTGGCTATCCTGGAACTCACAGAGATCTTCCTGCTTCTGCCTCCCAAATGTTGGGATTAAAGGCATGTGCCACCACCACCTGGTTCTTTTTAATTAATTAATTTACCCTAAGGATGCTCAATCATACTATAAGGCATTTGCTCGACTATCTTCATGGCAGCATTATTTGTCATAGCCAGAACCTGGAAACAACCTAGATGCCACTCAACCAAAGAATGGATAAAGAAAATATGGTACATTTACTCAGTGGTACTCACTGGTAAAAAATAATGACATCTTGAAATTTGCATGCAAATAGATGGAACTAGAAAAAACCATCCTGAGTGAGGTAATCCAGATCGAGAGAGACGAACATGGTATGTACTCACTCATAAGTGGATATTAGACGTAAACCAATGGATAAACAGCCCATAATTCACGAACCCAGAGAAGCTAAGTAACTAGGGGCTTGTCTTCTTAAAGTGACCTTTACACATAGCAGCCAGGGAACCCTGGGCTGATTAGGGTATTGCCTGGCTGCGTCTTGCCAGATGACAGAGTAGGCCAGCATAATGCCTGAATCCTCACAGTCCCCACAGTCTATCACAGTCTCAACTCTGTTTAAAAGTCTAAAGTTGAAAGTCTCTTCTGAGATTTATGAAATCTCTTGAATATAGTCACCTGTAAAATCAAAATCAAAAACAGATCACACATTTCCAACATACAATGTCACAGAATATACGTTACTGTTCCAAAATGTAGAGAAGAGAGGTTAGTGATGAAATATTGAACCAAAGCAAGACTGAAACCAGCTGGACAAACTCCAACTGTCCATCTCCATGTCTGATATTAAAATGCTCTTCAGAGCTCCAACTCTGTTCAGCTTTGTCGAACACAACACAATTCTTTCTCTTGGGCCAGTTTGACTCCCTGTTAGTTTTCCTTGGCAGACATACCATGACTCTGGCATCTCTAACATCTTGGGTTCTCTAAGACAATCTAGGCTTCAACTTCACAGCTTCACACAATGGCCTCTCTACTAGACCTCCATTCAGGGACACCCCTGACACACACCTGGCCCCAGCAGCTTTCCATAGATTCAGATGCAAATTCCATAACTCATTTCTTCCATCCTTAACTCTAAAGTCAGAGCCATGTGACCAAAGCTGCCACGTTCAGCTGCTTGCTGGGGCCGGAACAGGCCCCTCCTCCAATTGCATTTTTGCCAGCTTTCTGTTTTTGATAGTTTCCTTCACTGCCTGAGTTTAGCTGTCCTGAAACTTGCTCTGTAGACCAGGCTGGAATCAGACTCAGAGATCCACCAGCCTCTGCCTTCCCAGTGCTGGGATTAAAAGTGTGTGCCATCACTGCTTTGCCTAAACTTTTCTTTAATTCCTTTTCACAAGTCGGAAATTCAGCTGGGTGGGATCTTGCCCTGAGGTTACCACACTCTTCATTCCGTCTCTTAGTCTGTTGATCTCCTCAATTACAGGATTTGGCTCCATTCCACTTCTGGTGCTCCTTTCCTCCTCAAATGGTTTTCCTTCCTCAGCTGGCCCCCTTCATTATACATTTCATCAGAGTGACCACTAATAACCACACGGTAGAGTCTACACTAGGCTGTTTTGAGATTTCTTCTGCCAATGGAATTAATTCAAATATCTTCACTTTAGCCTCAGGCAGACTCTTTGGACAAGGGCAAAAGGCAGCCTCCTCCTCCTCCTCCTCCTCCTCCTTCTTCTTTTAATTTATTATACATTATGTATACAGCATCTGCCTTAATGTATCCCTGCCGGCCAGAAGAGGGCACCAGATCTCATTATAGATGGTTGTTGCTGGGAATTGAACTCAGGACCTCCAGAAGAGCAGTCAGTGCTCTTAACCTCTGAGCCATCTCTCAGCCCCAGCAGCCACATTCTTTACCAAAATATCCCAAGAATGATTTCTAGGCAACACACTAAAACTCTTCTCTGAAATCTCTTGATCCAGCCCTGGACAGTTCAAATCATTCTCAGCACCACTGTCATCCCTGTTCCTACTAGAATGGCCCATTAAGCAGTGCTTAAAGCATTCTACTGCTTTCCTAACCTAAGTACCAAAGTTCAAATTCCTCCAAACAAACACTTCTTCAGGCCTATCACAGCAATACCCTGGTACCAACTCTGTCTTTGTTAGGGCTTCTATTGCTGTGAAGACACACATGACCATGGCAACTCTCATAAAGGAAAACATTTTTTTTTTTAAAAAAGATTTATTTATTTATTATGTATACAGTGTTCTGCCTGCATTATGCCTGCAGGCCAGATGAGGGTACCAGATCTCATTACAGATGGTTGTGAGCCATTATGTGGTTGCTGGGAATTAAACTCAGGACCTTTGGAAGAGAAGACAGTGCTCTTAACCGCTGAGCCACCTTTCCAACCCAAAGGAAAACATTTAACAGGGTGACGTACAGTTCTGAGGTTCAGACCATTGCCATCATGGTGGGAAGCATGGCCATGTGCAGGCAGACATGGTGCTGGAGAAGTAGCTGAGAGAGTCTTACAACTTGCAGGCAATAGGAAGTCAACTGACAGTGTAGGAAACTTAAGCAAAAGAGACCTCTGCTCCCATGGTGTCACACTTCCTCTAACAAGGCCACACCTACTTCAACAAGGCCACATCTCCTAATACTGTCACTCTTTTGGGGGGCCATTTTCTTCAAACCACCATATCAACTCAGCCCAAACTACTAAAATTAGGACAGAAGAGAATTCTCTTGGGTGAAGCTAGAAGAGTAGAGGAGAGCAGGGAAGAGCAGAGGAGAATAGAGAAGAGCAGGGGAGAGTAGAAGAGAGCAGGGGAGAGCAGAGGAGAGCAGGGGAGAGTAGAAGAGAGCAGAGAAGAGGTGGGGAGAGCAGAA